TCTTTTTAAGTGGGAGAACTTGCACTATTGGTGGCTGACTAAATACTTTTTTGCCCCACTGTGTATATACAGAATGTGATTTTTACATTTAGACAAATCTAAACTGAAATAATGAAATTAATTTTATTTGCCCAAGAAGTCATACGAAAAGTGCACTGTGGCTATAGTATGTGTGCCTTGATAGATGTGAATTAACATTCTTTATAGGTGTATTTCCACTAATTCAGAGCAAGCATAATTTTCCTTCTGTGAGCTCCAAGAATCTGTCACACATGAAAAAAAAACAAAAGCTTTGGTAATTGATGCATATCCAGCATTAAATACAAAGAGCAATTTGAATGCCCTGCCCACCCACTGTGACTAGGTAATGCTGAAACATAATTAAAACAGTAAACTCTGTCACAGACATGGTCAGTGACATCAGAAAAAAAAATACAAATTATCTAAAAAAAAAAACCTCTATGAGAAAATTATATTTCAGTGACAGATGAACATATCGTTTTACAAATCCCTAAGCCAAAGTTTAATTAAAGTTTGTGATAGAAGAAATTTGTTGTGGGGAAGATAAATAAGAACATGCGGTCCTCTTTTATTTACACCATAAAATGATGAAACTAAGAGTCATTATTTCAGCTTCTACTGAATAACTGAATCACATCAGAATTAATTTTACCAGTAAAACTGCACCTAGTACAGCCCTTTATTTTATCACACAGTTGAATTTTCTAAGGGGGGCTGTGTCAAAATCACATGAGCATCCCCATTGACAAGCATTTTATGGTCCAATTACATTTTGACAAACATTCACTACGTGGCTTGTAGAACAGTATTTCTAAAAAGAAATTTATACTGCTTACTGATTAAATCAATAAAAGCAAAGGTGGTTTATGTCTTTATCAAAGGACAAATACAAGATAACAATTTGTTTTCAGAATACTTCAGTTTAATTTTGTTTCAGTTTATTGATATTTACCCAATTTTCAACACGTTATCTCAAAGCAGTTTACAAAGACAATTCAATTAGATCAGATAACCAGATTGATAAAAAGTTTTCTATCCAAGGAAAACTAGCTGATTGCATTGAGTCATTGACTTGCAGGACACGCTCTTTCCTTGATGAGCAGTAGATGTTCTCTAGCATTTTTTTATTGATTCTACAGCAGTCACTCACACCAAGCATGTACACAGCAACACTGGAAAGGAAAAACTCCCTTTAACAGGAAGAAATCTCCAGCTGGAATCACCCTCGTTCTCTGGGCACAGACTGAACTGTCAAACCACGTTAGTGACTCACGTGTTCATAATCATCCTCCATCAGACTATAAAGCCTCTCAAGGTGAAACATGAGTTCAGAGTGAATAATCATGACAGACAAGGAAGAAGTAACAGAGATACTTTGTGGACTAACCGTAACAGATAATAAAAATAATGAGAAAATTAGTTGGTTAATGAAGTGTCAAGGGCTCTGCTTTTAACCAGGTTTACCATTTTAAAACCTTCAAATCTGTAAATCACTGAATGGTTATTTCAAATCTTCAACTTGCTTTTTTTGCATGTAGTAAAAATCTATTTTCACAAAAATGTTTTTTGTTGTTTTTCTCCATTTGTGTTCACCTGAGTTTTACTACTTTACTCATGTTGTGTCACCATATTGTAAATGTAACTTAATAATTTCTAGAACCTTTGAAGCATTTCTTTTCTTTGCCAAAGAAATTAATAGCTGTAGTCCTTTTCTGAAAATCTGAATTTCAGAGTAGAAGTCGGATTGATGTTATGATTAACTTTGTAGAAAGAAATTTGCTTCCAATGCTCTCAGGAGCTAAAACATGTAAATTATTGGATCTAGAGCTAGGGCTGCTCAGTGACAGTTATTAGCACTGTTGCCTTGCAGAAACGGTCCTGGATTTCATCACTGGCCTAGGGTCTGTCAGCATTAAGTTAGCATGTTCTCCCTGTACATGTGTGGGTTATTTCCAGGTACTCTGGCTTCCTTTCAAAGTCCATAAACATGAGTTTTGGTTTGACTGTGACTCTAAATTCCTTTTAGTTGTGTGTGTGCATAGTTGTGTCACTCTGTAATGGACCGCCAAAGCATTGAATAATATCTTGTTAGCAGCAAAACAGAAAATTTTGGAAGTCTAGTATGAGGTTGTTTTAGATCTTAATATCTCTACATTTCTTGTTTAGTCAACTGGTAGCGTTAGATAAGTATTTATCTACACCTGTCTTAGAGACCAGCATTGAAACATGTTGCCTTTTAATGTTTGTTTTTTATTTCCTTATTTTTCACTTCTTGAGCAAGTGTAAACATATGTTTGAAATGTTGGGGTAAAAATGGCAACTCTGACCTACTGCGCGAATAACAGTCTTTAGGTTTACACATATTTAATTTCAAATAAGCTCTCCCTTATCTCCCGACACATGCTCCAGCCCTCCAAGTTTCAATAAATTGGCACAGCAAGGTTTTCATAATCCTGCCTGTACAGAAACAAAACTGGCCCAAAAGAGACAGAAATCTTGATGATTTAATTAGCATGAAGCCAAACTCTAGCTGTTACTGGTATTGCATGCATATTCCAAAGTAATTTCTACTTTCAACGCTGCAACATGCATCCTTAAACAAACACAGATAGTTTCGAAAACGTGTACAGTTAAATAACTTTACACAATTAAATACTTCATACTGTGTCTTTGCTGTGCAATGAAAACACAATGTACAATTGCGAACATGTTACACTGTCATTTGTGCTTTGAAATGTGTTTGACAACAAATCAGTTGTTTAGGCTGGGGTTGTTTTCCATTTTTATTCAGCTTTCAAATAATAATCTTATTACTTTTACAAAAGTGAAAATTTTTGATAAAAAAAAAAAAAAAAACATAATGAAAAGTGCTGTCCTGCATTGATGCTGATAATAAACACTCCAATGTGTATAACAGCTGTTCTTGTGGATTAAGGAGAACAATGAGGATGTGATGTGTGGGTTCTTAAAGCAGATCGCATCACTGTAAAAGCTAGTAGTACCTAGTACATGTTAGGCACAACGGGAATAAGATTAAATAAATTATCCCTTTCAGGATTTTCCGAAGTGGACCATTTTTGCTGTAGTATTTGTCTGTAGTTGCAGCACTGATTTTTTTTAAGCAGCATGGAGGTTCATACTTCTTATCAATTCTAAGTCAGATGCAAATTAAAATACCCACTCTTCATCCTCCTGGATTTTTGGAGTCTTTTCTTGTATATGGGTTATTTTAGGCTATTTGAATCATGATCAATTTTCTTATGTAATTTTTTTGAATAAGTTTCAGGACAGAATTGTAGCTGCTTTAAGCTGAAACCATAATCTTCCTCCTTTGTTCAGTAATGGCTTTTCCTTTCAAACAAGGATGGCTTCTTTCACTCCCTTTCAATCTACCTGTACTCTCTGTCCAAAATATGAACATTTTGGTTTTCAAAGGTGTACTTTGTTTTCGAGGTGCAAGTGTATACCAGAATTTTGCCAAGACCTACTGGTTCTCCATTCCAGGAGATTTAAGCAGAGAAATACATAATTGTGGGATGTGGTAAAACCATTCTGGACTAGAACACATGTTTATGTGTGAAATAAGTTGGTTCTTTTTATTCAATACATCTGGTGCTTTCAGAACCAGTAGTAACGTTAAATATAATTTAAGTGATTTACAGGAAGTTGAACTCTTCCAACATGTTTTTAGTTTGAACATTATCATTTGAGCTTGTAAAGGCACACGGATCTGTATTTATCATGATTGTCATGTTGCAGTAAGTTTGCCTGTGTAGAACAACACTATTATAAGAAATTATGCCTCACTCACTTTTTTAACACAATATTATTTTTGAAACAACTGCATTGTCCAAGCTTAAATTTAGAGGGAAACTTGAAGCACTACATCCACAACAGAGACATTTTAGGAGGATAGGTTTCAACCCAGGTACTCAATTTTTTATGGAAATGTTTTAGCTATAGAAATGTTCCTGGGTTGTGATAAAAGGTTCCTGTTATTAAAACCTGCCTGACTCAAATAGAAAAAATGCACAGGGTGATAAGTCTCTGTTCCAAATTGTCTTTCTTCTAATCACACAATATTTTCTGCAGTCTAAAAATATCAATTGATCAGAGTAGACAGACACAATAGATAGAAATTTCAAACAAGACAACTGCCCTCTAATCATCAATTAGACACGATTAATGCAAGAGTTAATATTCTTTGTGGGCTTTCAGGAATCTAAAAAAAAAAAAAGATTGCAATTGAGCTACACTGGATCGAAAGCAACGTGGAAGATTTATTCATAAACCACTGACCTAAAAAAAAAAAAAAGGCTGGTCTGACATTTTGCTGTTGTCACATATCTGCTAAATCACTGGCCTCTGACCACTGTAGGGCTTCTGTTTACAAGACTGATTTGAACATGTTAACCTTCACTTTTGTTTTACCCTGTCCCTGTGACCTGGTGATACAGTGACTGCATACAGTTTGGTTTACTGGAATCTCTACCACCAGTATTTTAGAAAAACAAGATTTAAAATGAAAATGATCTGCTTCGACATGTTTTTTAGATCCTATTGTAAATACTGTCTTATAGACTCAGTATATTTTCTTTGGTTTCTTTCTTATGTTTTTTTTCAGCTCTGTGCTGCAAATGAAAGATGTCATTTCATGGTTATTGCTCAGTTGCAAATCTCTTGGTTATCTACCAATTAATCTTCTTTATCTTTAGTAGATTTACAATAAAACAAAGACAAAGAGGGCTAAGAATATACAGACATTAGCACAGTATTTCAAGTTTTATATTTCATTAGAAAGAAATGTGGGGGAAATTTCTCTTGTATTTGTGTGTTTTATGTTTGTGCATTTCTACCATCCTACCTCTAGGTAGACTACCCAGGGCATTACAAGTGTGGCCACCAGAAGGTCAGCAACAGCCAGGCTGACAATCAAGTAGTTGGTAGTGGTCTGTAGAGCCTTCTCTCTGGACACAGCCATGCACACCAGCACATTGCCGAAGACAATGACGAAGATGAGCAGAGTGAGAAGCATGGCATAGTAGTTGTAATGGTGGCTGTGTTCTGGCTTTGTTTCGTTGAAGTGCCATGTTCCATTATCGTAGAAACTGTCATTGTAGGCATATTGGGTAAACACATCCATTAGCTGTGAGTGATGGAGGCCAGGAAGTGGCCCTGCAAGACAGGGAAAACAGTTGTTCAAGGTTAAATTCAATTATTGTTTGCAAACAGAAATAAAGTCTAAAGATAATCTGTAATCCATCAGTGATTGCTGACTAGAAGGAGCCAGTCTATTGATCTATTAACCCCTGCTAAACTCAGTCATGGTTCATGTCTTTATTTCAAATGTTCAAATTGTGGCGAAGATAAAAATCCAACCCTGATTTAAACAAACAAAATAAAAACAAAAAAATATAATATTAGGAGATTTGAATGTTGGTTTCAGTGAAAGCTTGCATTCCTCAGACAAAATGTGACCTGAAGAGATACTGGTTATTTTACTTTATGGAGGACCAATTCTGATATGATTAAGAATAAAAGATAAGATTTACCATGTTATCTTAAAATAGCGACAAAAGTAGCTAGATACTGTACATACGTTTTTGTGAGAATTATTCAATTATTGATAAAATAAAATAAAAACTTAGTTTTTTCTAATAGGAAAAATTTTTTTTTTACTTTAAGCATAAATGGGATAGCATTTTCTTTTCATTTTAATCTGTTTTTATTATTATTATTAATTTTTTTTATCTGAATATTAAATTAAATATTAACCTCAATGATTTATTCTCTTTCTGCCCTACAATTTATTTGAGCATTTTAATTTGGGTTCTTTACACATAGCATGAAGCCAGTAAAAATGCCAAGGTTCTGTATGTAACGAAAAAATGTAAATAAATGTCCCCAGTTACTACACTGATGAGGCAAAATAATAAGAAAGGGTCCCCTAAATTTACACACGATCTTAATGGTAGTGTATGCATCATTTGTGAATTTTCATGTATAGCTGGATCAACCAAGAACTTTCTTGTTGTTCAAGGAAAGTATGTCTTGTTTTTGAGTATTCACACTTCACAAGGAGCTCAGTTGTAAAACTGATAGAAAGCCTTGCAACAATTTAGAATACATTTCACAAAATTATATTTTTTACTAGAGAAAATCTTGTCGATCTGAAAAGTGTGGATATCTTTCATTCTCAATAGAGCAGCACAAATTCAGTCGGCACCAAGTTACAATAATTTGGAAATGCGCAGCCAATGCATTGAACTGTCTCATAGTTTAATGCGTGGATTATAAACCAGACTTAATCTTGGTAAACTGGCATGTGCAGCTCTATCTTGGGGAGATCTTTTCTGCTGATTCTTTTCTACGGATTTGTCCCTAAGTGAAAAACACGGTGGTTCACTTAGGGAACTTATCACTTAAAAAAAATAAATAAATTAGGGACAACTTCCTCAAGGTGATAATGAGCTGACGCCAGAAGAGGCCTAGGAGGAGGCTAGTGTGAAAGAATATACAGAGCCGAAGTCAAATCAGAACCAGGTTTGCAGACCAGAAGATTAGAAAGACTAAGAGGAACCGAAGGAGAATCCAAGCCTAGGTCAGTAGCATAGTCCAAGTTTAGTAAACCAGCAGAATCCAGGAAATCAGTCCAAAATAAAAATGACAGAGCAGATTAGGGCAAGGTAAAAACTCAGATATACAAAGGCATTAAAAGGGTCAGAATCACAGAGCAATTACTTGATCTCTAGAGTTACTCTCACCAATTTGGTGCCGATGGTAGGCAGATACAGCATAAATAGTAGCAGGACTTAGAAGGATGTGGCAAGGCATACTGTATGGGCGATCACAGTCTACAATACAACCTCCCCCCTGGTGGGTGCAGCTGATGCTGACTACTTGAATGGGCTAAACAAATTCTTTGGAAGGTTTAAAGCACTAAACAGCACTCCAGATGTTAAAGCCATTCCACATCAGGGAGAGGAGGCCCTCTGCCTTGACACAGCTGATGTGTGGAAGACTGAAGAGAGTCAACCCATGAAAGCCCCAGGTTCCAATAACATACCTGGGTGGGCATACAAGTAGTGTGCAGGTCAGCTGGCTGGTGTCCTCACAGACATTTTTAACACCTGGAAGGAACAATCCATTGTGCCAGCATGCTTTAAGTCTGCCACCACCATTCCGGTCCCAAAGAAGCCTCAGGTCACCTGATTCAATGATAACCGCCCTGTTGTACTGACTCCTATCATGATTGATTGCCTTCAAAGCTGGTTAAAGAACACATGATCTCCAGTCTCCCCCTAACATTTAACCCATCCCAGTTTGCTTACTGACAGACCACTCCACGGAAGAAGCCATCTCCTCTGCTCTTCCCCTGAGCCTAGCACACCTGGAGGAGAAGAACACCCATGTAAAGATGCTGATCCTGGACTTCAGCTCAGCTTTCAACACCATCATCCCATAGCATTTGATAGACAAACTGGAACAGCTGGGCTGTTAGACTTCCTCACAAACAGATGTCAGTCAGTCCTGATCAGACAGAAATCTCTGATGTCATCACCCTAAGCACAGGCTCCCCTCAGGGCTGCATCCTGAGCCCCCTGCTGTTCACTCTGATGACTTAAGACTGCATCCCCAGGCTCACCACCAATCACATCGTGAAGTTTGCAGACGACACCACAGCAGTGGGCCTCATCAGAGACCACAACGACCACGACTACAGAGAGGAGGTGAAGCAACTGGATGGCTCATGCAAAACTAACAGCCTGATCCTTAACATGGAGAAGATGAAGGAGACCATCATCTACTTCAGGACGAACCAGCCTAACCATGCTTCACTGTTCATGAACAGCTCAGCTGTAGAGGTGGTCAGCAGCACCAAATTCTTGGGGGTGCACATAACAGGCAGCATCACCTGGACTGAAAACTCCACCTTATTAGTCAAAAAGGCAAAAAAGTATTTCCTGTGGAGGATGAAGAGAGCCCACCTGCCCACACACATCCTCAAGACCTTCTGCAGAAGCACCATAGAAAGCATTCTGACCAGCTGTCTCACTGTGTGGTGTGGAGGCTGCAGTGTTTTAGACTGGAAGAAAGTGGGAAGAGTAATGAGAGCAGCCGAGGGGATCATTGGGGCTCCTCTTCCCGCCATAAAAGACATTTCATCCCAGCACTGCTTGTCTGCACTGCTTGTCTCAAGCCTGTAACATCATTATGACCCCTCACATCCCCACCATGGACTGTTCTTCCTGCTGCCTTCTGGGAAGAGGCTTCGCAGCTTTCGATGCAGGTCCAGCAGATTCTGCAACATTTTCTTCACCATTGCTATCAGACTGCTGAACTGTTGAACAAAAATCTCTAAATCATTCCAAACTTCCATATTAAAGCATTTTTTTGCACCATGTTTTTTTCCCCACACTGTTTACATTTGATCACTGAGTGTAAAACCCAGAGCCTTTCCTTGTGAAATCAAATATGATCTAGTTCCTGAAGGGGAACAAATTGTTGAAAGAAAACACAGAGAAATGCTAGGCAGCCCCGTCTACATCATACTTGTACTAGGCCTGATATAAGCTGGATTGTAAGCAAACTGTCGCAACATATGTCTGATCCTAGAGAGAAACATATGACAGCTTTAAAACATGCATACAAATACTTACAAGGGACTTAGAATTATGAGTTGTGGTTGTTGATTGATGTGTGTTTTTGATTGAACATATCAAATACAACCCATCATTTTATTAAAGACTTTATTAATAAACTGTCTGATATATTTTTTTTGGCAGGGAAGAATTTTGAATTGAAAGTCATTTATGCTGCACAGCAGCTGATACTGTTTGTTTATCAAGTGAGCTTCCACATGTTGAGTGTTTAGTAAGTTGTGGCATTAATGGTAGGATTAGAACTGCCCAAAGAAAATAAGGAAAAAAATAGGCTTTTCAATTGTTTTTTTTTAAACATGTTTAATTTTGTATTGTAATTAAAAATAAAAGAAGTGTTCTCCATTTTTCTATATTATTTTATTAAACTAAAAATAAATCCATTTGTTCTTATACTTATCGTTAGCTTCAATTTGAGTCACAAATGAAAATCGAAAAAACAATTGCCTTTCTTTCTCGACATCTCTGGGTTGTAATGTAAAATTATTTATACTTGCTCACATGATAAAGTAGGCCCAACTTGCTTTATTGCAACACTTTCATTACATCCTCAGTCCATCACTGATCTTTGGTCCAGGCTGGTTCACTACCTCTATTTCCTGTTTATTATAGCCAAGCATGATGTATAGGCTACATGTTATAATAATAATTTTGCTTTTTCCTAATGAAAACACTCCAATGGATGGAGACATACTTAATTTTATTTTTGTCTGTTTCATATTTCAAAAGTTTGCTCAATATTCGCACAACATTTGGATCGAAACATTGCTGTAGCTTTAGTTCTAGTTTGAATTGTGCTTTTAAACAGAGGCAAAGGCATGTCTAGAAAATTCTGACAAAAGTCTAAATAAGGATTTGATCAAATACAATGCTATATTTATTGTGGCCAGGTCTGGTCTTTTATCAGCACTCCATAGGGAATCTCTCAAGGCAATTAAATGCTCAAAGGTTCTAGTACTTACAGCTCACATTGCAGGTTTATATCGCTTTATGTCTCTTCTGTTTATTCAGGATTTCTGCTGCCCTCCTGGTATTTTGCAACTGAATTAATCTAAATGCCTTTGTATGGTTGAGGACTGATATTTGAAAATATTTCTGTTACAAAGCAAAGCTCACTGGCTTGTTGGAGGGCCTTATAATTGCAAAGACACAAGGTTTCCTGGCAGATCACAGCAATTTAATGACATTGTCAATACTTGTCACTATCCCTATTGGTAGTTTTAACGCTGAGGCCAACTGCTCTATATTGACTAACTGCTCAGCTCATATAAATGATTTTCTGGAGAATGTTTTTTTTTTCTTTCATTTATGGTCCATGTGCACAATAAACAGTTACTCATCAGTACATCTTACAAAATAATGCCGAAGCAATCATTCATCACTTGTTCTCAATAAGCACTAAACAACAAACAACATAGTCAGATAAATAAT